CCTAGTAGCGTCCTTGCTCCTAGTAGCGATGCCCTTGCTCCTAGTAGCGTTCTTGTTTCTTGAATGAAACCACCTGTCTTTGGTTTTTGACCCGTCTCATCGCCCCTCCTTCGACCCGCGGCCTGTCGTCGGACCCGAGGCGCAGATGAGAAGGTCGCGATCTTCTACGCTGGGAGCGGCTCGGTGGGCGAAACGATGGGTGTGGTGGGTCGGGCCATGAAATCTGCGGTGATATCTCAAGGTCCAGGTCCTCGAATGGAGAAATTCAAGCGAGTTCACGGAGGTATTGAATGTCAAAACTAGCAGCGTCCTTGTTTCACCATGCTTGCCAGTCAGGGTTGGCATCACCACCGACAGTCTGGACGGATGTTGAAAAGGTGAACCAAGCACCACGCTCAACAAGCGAGAAGTCCCACGATTTGAGTGTTCGGCCGGCGCCAGCCAGAAGTAGCGTCCTTGTTCCTAGTAGTGATGCCCTTTGTTCCTAGTAGCGAACATTGCTCCTAGTAGTAAGTCCAGGAGCCCCTAGTAGCTTCTTGTTACTAGTAGTAAGAATGCTTCTAGTAGCGATGCCGGGAGCCCCTAGTAGCGCCCTTGCTCCTAGTAGCGATGCCCGGGTTCACTCCTTCCAGCTGCTGTGCTTCAGATGTTGAAAGCCGGAAGGACCACAGGGCGAAGGACCCAAGCCGACCCGCAGAGCTCCCGCCAACGCAAAGGCAACGTCCCCGAAAGCTTGCTGAAAGAGGAGTATCGAGTGGACTTGAAGGACTCTCACTATCACTTTGCTCCTTGGCTTTTAAACGGAGAAATTAGAACAGAAGTGGTGGTGGTTTTCGTGTGGTTTTTGTTGCTTGATTGAGGCTTGAAGGGTTGTGGTTGTGGTTTTTGTTGTTCCTGCTCTATGTTTGCGGACCAGACAGTTGGCAAATCAAGTGCAGACATTAGTTTCAGGGTGCAGTGCCCACTTGTCGGATATAAACGGAATGCGTTGACGTCTTGATTGAGACTTGTGAGTATTTTTCGATGGGGAATGCTTTGGCTTTGGCTCCTGGAGGGTCCTAAAGCCAGCATCGAAACCTATACCTTACTTGCTACGTTCATTCTGACCATAGCCCGACCGTCACATCCTCAAATGGATACTCAGGGGCAGGTGGTGACTGTTTTGCAGTTAGCTTCTCAAAAAGCAGCATATCTTGGGGTCTTTCCTCGTACAAACTACACCTGTTGATATTATTGGGTCCACATGTTTCAATTTCTTGAAGCCAATCCGAAGATCCTCACATTCTACCACGACACAAGTCTCCACCATCCCCGTCCCCGAAAGCTCTCCCTCACGGCTGAGGAGCGCTGCGACGACCTGCCGGGCTTCAAGGAGGTCGCCGCGGGCAGCGATGACGCCACCCAGCGCCCCGGGCAGAAAAGCGCAGTAGGTGAGAGGCCATCGCTACTAGGAGCAAGGACGCTACTAGGCTCCTGGCCTTACTACTAGGAGCAATGTTCGCTACTAGGAACAAAGGGCATCGCTACTAGGAGCAAAGGACGCTACTAGTAGCTTCTTGCTCCTAGTAGTAAGGCCAGAGCCCCTAGTAGCGTCCTTGCTCCGTTCGTAGCGATGCCCATTTGCTCCTAGTAGCAAAGGAACCTTATAGCGATGGCTTGTAGGTTGAAGGCGACCGGTCGAGGGCGAAGAAGGACCGCTTCTTGTGTTGGCTTTGTCCAGCCCCGGAGACGCACGAGATTCACACGAGGTGCTCTTCGCAGGGTGCCAATGAGTCGGTTCATTTGGGGAGGAAGAGAGTGGCAGCATGCTAGGGCTTCGAGGTGTTGGGCTTTGTGGAGTTTTTTTTTGATATGTCCTTTCTTATAGCCTCCACCTGGCAGAATAGCCGATCTAACGAGGTGTTGGGGTTTTGGGTCACTGCGAACTCATGACCCGTAACGACCAGTTTCTTCGACAGACTCGGCGCTCGCACGGATCCTCCGGTCCGCGAGGCTGGAGTCCCTCAAGACGGGGCTCCTCGCAAGGGCGCACAAGGTGCTGGAAGACAACCCCAAGGCAAGACCCAATAGCGATGGCCTCCAACCTACTAGGGATGGCCTCCAACCCAATAGCGAT